TAATAAATTCATATTTATCAAATCATTGCACTAATTGTAAGTATATCAAAATAAATATAAATCTAAGAAATATTTTTTTCAAGGAATCTATAGAAATTCTTGCCGTGCTGCACAATTTTCCTTTCAACCACAATTATGCACCGCTAATACTTTAAAGTTTTAAACGCTATATTGTGGAATATTTATATTAATAAAATATTTAATAGCAATATTTCAAAAATTTTGTGAATGCGCACAAGTTAATAAATAATTTTTTTTTAAACTCCGAATATATTCTAATCTCTTCTCCATTTTGGAAATAATATTTTATATTATTTCCTATTAATAACTTATTTCACTAATGCAAAATTTAATAAAAATTCAAAAATTTTATAAAAGAGAATTAATAATTGAAATAATTTCTCGCATAAAATCTTATTCGTTGATTTAAATTATAAATTATCCATAAAAAACCTAGATTTATACTTATTATCCACAAAAGTACATTTATTATATATTTATATTCTTGAAATTTATATTTATATTGTATAAATAATATAATTAATAAAGAGACAGTCGCGCACTCAAAAAGCAGTCATTTTTGCTTCAACCCGCGTAAAATATGTATATAAAAGCTATTGTCCGTAAAACTGTTGACATATACGAGCGCCCGTAAAAAGCTAGACTTAAAATTTTTACCATCTATATCTCCCCTGGCGATTTCTCGAGATTTAGCGCGCTTCGTGTTCCTGCACGAGGAATGTGTATGCTGTTTTAATAGTTTCTGTCAACTTTGTTACTCGCCGCACGAGCGGACGCGGCGCTTTCGTGTTTTGTTTATATTTGGTGAACGCGGGTTTTATTTATACAATCTGGAAAGATGCCAACAATGTAGCATGTGTTGTTTTCGCATACGGTCGGTATTAATAAAATTGACAAATCTCAATGTAACAGTATGTGTTTCTACGATAGAATGCTACTTTTATATTCCATTTCATATTCAAAATTGTTTAATTGTTAAATTGCATTAAAAAAATTTGTATCCTCAGTCTTCGATTATTATTAGACATTTTAGGTTTAATTATTAAAAATAACCTCTTTGTCAATTCATTGTAAATCTTTAAAGAATTGGAATAATCTTCAACAACTCATTGAAGATGATTAAAAAATAATAATTAGTAGTCAAATGTGTTTCAGATAAAAATAATAATTTATCAATTTTTTTGTGAGCACAATTTTTAAAATTATACAAGCTTAATAATTTTAAAAACTAATAAATGCATCACAACTTCTTGTCTTTTTAAACGATTTTAAAGATTTTGTTTAGAAGAAGCAATATCATAGTCAACAGTGCATTGTTTGATCCGCTTTCGCTCCAATTTCGAGGATATAGTCTCTGGCTGTGTGTGACTCTCGAGATGTATATTCAATTATCGCGGAGAATTTCCGGGGGAATAGATCGAGAGAGGAGAAAGTCGGTAATCCGCCTTAAAGTGTACACAAACCGCAACGCGGCGATAAATTCAGTTTACGGTCCCGGGAGTTCCCGTCAAAGTCTCTTCTCAAAGACTTCATCATGATAAAAAGAACACGACGAGTAAGCTCTGCACGACAGGGTTCCGCGACTTTAGCGCAAGGTAATCCAAACTTGGCGTAATAAGTCAGTAGGTTAAATTTTTTTATATCATAGAAGTAAGGAGAAATCATTTGAATTGTGTCTACTTCTTCGGTCGAGCATGTTTGCTCAAGTGCTCGAAGTCATTACAATAATAAAGATCAGAAACTGTACAGTAGATGTAACGATTGTAATTTTGCTTCGTCTACTAATGACGGCATTTTTACCGTCAACTGCGAAAAGATCGTTTATGCGTGGCAGAACAAAGCCCCATCCTCATAAAAAATAAATACAAAAACTAGACAGAATTAAGTTTGTGGTTGGCATAAACGTTTCAAACGCAACTGTAATAATATGTAGTAGAGCGAAAACACAAGCGAGCTGTTCATTGAGTATAAAAGAACATCCTCCGTCCTTTTAAAAAAGACTGCAGCTCTCGCAGCTATCTTGACAAACATATAATTATATATTTTAATTCTTTATAAAAATAACGTGCGTCATAATTTTAACGTACTCTCGCATTTTAATTTCTTAAAAAGATGCATTAAATCTAAATGAAAGAACCTACACGTTAAGAGACAACTATCACAGAACACGACACCGCGAGACTCACCAGAAACTCGCCGCTGCCGAGGCTCTGCTGAGATCCATCCGGCGTGATCGCGAGGTCCGCAACGATCGACGTGGAGAAGCTTCTGCGTGCCTGATGATGACACTTGTGCGGGCCCAGATTTCTCTGGGTGCCGTAACCAGAGACCACCGGGCTCTCGTCCAACTTGGACGTCCAGATCTCTTGCTCGCGCTGCGGCGACTGACTGATCGTGCGATGCTTGGTGAATCTGGAGATCCGTTCGGTCTTAACCCAGTCGTGATTCGGACGGGGCTGACGCGTGATCGTCTGCAGCGACTTCATCGCGTTGAACCGGGAAAACCCGTCCTCCATCGCGGCCGCCCAGAGATGATCCGGGAGATCTCGGGAGCCGCACTGGGTCTCGACGGACTGCCGATCCGAGGACGAGCCCAGGCCGGAAGTGGTCGGCGTGGTCGGATAGTATCTTCGGTAGGACGTGTCCTTGGAGTCCTCGATATCCGTGGAGTAAAAGTCGCCGTCGCGCGACTCCAGCGAGCGATTGTTCTCGTGCAGATTCAGGGACGAGCCGATTCCGGTCGAGGTAGTCGACGTGCGGCAGAAGCGCCGTTCGTTCGCCGACGTCCATATCTCATCCGTGATCGAGGAACCGATCCCCGTGGAGGTCGTGGGCGTTCTGCGCGAGCGAGTCTTTCTATAGCCGTCGTGTAGTTGATTACGGCGAATAAAATGGAGGGAGGGAGAAAATGTTTGCAAGATCGGTTACGGTAATAAGCTCGGTCTCATTTTAATCGTGTTTTTCAAGCACGACGGAAGAATGTACTCGATAAATAATTCAATTTCAAGCAAATTTTTGTTAGAGAAAAAAATGCAAATTAATCGCAGATATGAACAAAATGAATTAAGCATCAATAAGACTATAATTTGAAAAGATTCAGAAAATGCAATAAACTGTGATACAATTTATTTTTCCTTTACGAATTATCCGATCAAGAAGTCAAATAAATTCCTGTATTCCGAAGATTGATTTTAAACGTGTGTATAAGACGCGCAAATTTTCACGGAATTTTCCTCAAACGAAAAATGTTTAAAGATTTCCTGTCAATAACACTCGAGAAATTTAATGAAGAATTAATAAATCGCGCGCGACTCGAACAAGGGACTTTTGATATGACATAGATACAGTGACACAAAATTGATCGAATGTTTAAAAAATTATTAATATTAATTATGACTTATTAAAATATAATACTGTATACATGAAGAAAATTTTCTCTTAGCATTTACCATAAAAATCGGAGTAATCGTGGGACAAGATGTTGAACGAATTTATAAGAGTTTCTCTGATTAATATTTACCACGCTGAAAAATATTAATACGTACATAATAAAATTTACGATGTACATATTAAATTAAACGATCATATTTTATCGTGATAAATATTAATCAGAAAAACTCTCACAAAATTCCTCCAATACTACGATTACCATATTTTTCAGGGTAAGTTTTAACAGAAAATTCTGCATACATATATATATATATATATATATATATATATTTATATTCTTCTAATTTACAGATACAAAAATTCCTTTTAATATCCTTTTTCCTTTGCATTATCCTTAAAAAAATTTCTCCAATACCATGATTATACCATATTTTCAGGGTAAGTTTTAAGAGAAAATTCTGCATATATATTTCTATATATTTATATTCTTCTAATTTACAGATACAAAAATTCCTTTTAATATCCTTTTTCCTTTGCATTATTCTTAAAAAAATTTCTCCAATACCACGATTATACCATATTTTCAGAGTATAAGTTTTAAGGGAAAATTCTGCATACATACATATATATATATAGGTATATATTTATATTCTTCTAATTTACAGATACAAAAATTCCTTTTAATATCCTTTTTCCTTTGCATTATCCTTAAAAAAATTTCTCCAATACCATGATTATACCATATTTTCAGGGTAAGTTTTAAGAGAAAATTCTGCATATATATTTCTATATATTTATATTCTTCTAATTTACAGATACAAAAATTCCTTTTAATATCCTTTTTCCTTTGCATTATCCTTAAAAAAATTTCTCCAATACCACGATTATACCATATTTTCAGGTATAAGTTTTAAGAGAAAATTCTGCATATATATTATATATATATTTATATTTCTTCTAATTTACAGATACAAAAATTCCTTTTAATATCCTTTTTCCTTTGCATTATTCTTAAAAAAATTTCTCCAATACCATGATTATACCATATTTTCAGGGTAAGTTTTAAGGGAAATATTCTGCATACGATTATACCATAATAATACATATATATATATAGGTATATATTTATATTCTTCTAATTTACAGATACAAAAATTCTTTTTAATATCCTTGTTCCTTTGCATTATCCTAAAAAAAAATCCGAGAAAACGTAAAACCATCGATCAATGAAGTGCACAATTGTATGTACCTATGAGGGAGGCTTCTCTCTCTCCAGAGCTCATCGGGGTTCGCGGGGGACGTGTGGTTCGTGGAGGTCGCGACGAGGGTGGTGTGCTGATTCGCGTAGGAGCACCTCTGCGGAAAGCCCATCCCTTCGTCGAGGCCGGCCGCCCAGAGCGACTCGAGCGGTAGATCCTGAGCGCCGACGGAGGTGCCGTCGGCGCCCTTGCCGTTCGCCGTCCCGGTTCCGTGTTTCCCTCCGTTCCCGGCGGAGGGAAACACCCTCTCGGCACCCTGAAGGACGCAGCACATGCTAGTGCCGCCTCCCCCGTCGCTGCCCCCGACGCCACCACCCTCCTCCTCCGCCTCCGACCCCCTGGAACCAGAGCTTTGCAGGCAACCTATTGTGACCGAGCTTTTGATCTGGTGCCAGGCCTCGACCCCTTTTTTTTAAAGAGGGGCTGACGACCCTCCCGGCAGCTCGGTTCGTCTCCGTTCGCCTCCTTCACAGGCCCCGACGTGCCCTTCAAGGTCGGCCCTTCATCTCCCTCTCGTTGTTTTTGCGCGTCTGCGAATGCTCCTTTGCTTTGCTAATCTGGAATTAGTGGCTGACGAGCGATGACGGTCGACACGAAGCTCCAGGGTGTCTTCTTCGGAGGCGAATAATAATTTCGAGGCACTGAAAGTTGATTTCGGTCTATTGTAGCTCGCAGATGGAATAATTTCTAGTGTAGTGTCGTTGCGGACCTTTCGCAGGATGACTTCGAAGGAAAGGAAGAATCGCAGGGAAAAAAGGGGTATATTTATACGAAGAAATTGTTATCGCGAGAACGAATATTATATATCTGAATCCTAATGATGTGAAATGTCGTACAGGCATCTGGCACGCCGGTATTTCCCTTTGCTAACATTGCTGGACGCAGTTTGCGAAACCTGCAAACTCATCACCAATTTCCCGTAACTGTATCTGGCGCACCAATTACAACCATATTTCATTTGCCTCGTTACGTGCTACGTAAATGTAACCTTTCGTCCTAACATTCGTAACATAACTCTAGAATTTAACATTTCTAGTGGAATGCCTAACAAAATTATCCTAGTATCCGTAACAGACATATTTATTCAAAATTACTCATAATAGTTCTATAATAATGAAATTTTGCTTTTATTCACATAATATACCTATATAATATATGTAATATGTAAATTGTGTTGATGAGAAATAACACCATATGATTTTCTCTTTCACTAATCTCTCTCTCCCTCTTTCTATTATCTAGTTCCATACAATAAATTATTCAGATAGCAAGGTATTTGTAGCCTGGCGGATCATCGAGAATGCAAACGCACGGCATCGCGCGTGGAAATTCGATATCGCGCCCGTTCTGTCAACCATAGCTTCCGTGCTCATTTTTCTTGTTTATTCGTGAGGACACGTCCTGGGCCGGCGCGACATTGATGAAGATTAAATGCGAAAGTCGAAATAAAGTCCCGCGATCGATCCGGACGCGACTATCCACACGCGCTTACCCACATGCACGCACACATCGAATCGATTCCGAGAACATGAGTAAAAAGCTTCCGATGCCGACGGGGAGAGATTCGATGGATTCCGGCCATTATACCGTTATACAGACAAATTGAATGCCCGCGTAATTCGTTATTTACCGGCGCGGCTTTGTAATTGACCGAGGCACGGCGGACCCGATGATTTATCGCGATCGTCGAGACCCTTTTCGCCGGGGTCCGATTCTGTCCCGTTCGTGTCGGCTGTCAACTACGGAGATTTACGAGCGATATGCTGTCGAAATGTCGGCAAAAACATATGGTGGTAGCGAAACCCTGGATGGTCGTCGCATCCCCACGTCTGACCAGAAGGTTCGGGCTCTGTCTGGACGCGAATGTACGTATATAATTGTCAAAATGGCGCGATTGAATTAAAAATGCGAAGAAATAAGACTCGAACATTCTTCAAATTCAGAATGAAACGCAAGAAAGACGACGTTTTTCAGATGAGATAATACTGCGTCACTAAACCTCAGAATTTAAAAAACTCTTATTATGTAAAATATTGTACCTATATTTAATTTCTTGAATATAACATTAATGATAAGCAAATCGCGTTTGTTCGCATGTAATTGTCAAAGCACGATTAAATTAAAAACGCAAAGAAATAAGACTCGAACATTCTTAAAATTCAGAATGAAACGCAAGAAAGACGACGTTTTTCAGATGAGATAATACTGCGTCACTAAACCTCAGAATTTAAAAAACTCTTATTATAGATATGTAAAATACTGTACCTATAGATATGTAAAATACTGTACCTATATTTAATTTCTTAAATATAACTTTAATGATAAGCAAATCGCGTTTGTTCGCATGTAATTGTCAAAGCGCGATTAAATTAAAAACGCAAAGAAATAAAACTCGAACATTCTTCAAATTCAGAATAAAACGCAAGAAACACGTCGTTTTTCAGATGAGATAATACTGCATCTCTAAACCTCAGAATTAAAAAAACTCTTATTATAGATATATGTAAAATATTGTACTATTTAATTTCTTGAATATACCATTAATGATAAGCAAATCGCGTTTGTTCGCATGTAATTGTCAAAGCACGATTAAATTAAAAACGCAAAGAATTATAAATAAGACTCGAACATTCTTAAAATGCAGAATGAGATGCAAAAAACACGACGTTTTTCAGATGAGATAATACTGTGTCTCTAAATCTCAGAATTAAAAAAACTATTATTATGTAAAATACTGTATTTAGTTTCTCAAATATAATATTAATGATAAGCAAATCGCGATTTTGATTCTACTACAAGGATATTGCAGTAGCATAACGTGATGTTTGTACGTTCAAATTAATATCTTGTTTACCCTTTAAATATGCTGATCTAACTCTGAATTAAACTCGGCACATTTTCCCAGAATTCCCAGCATTTGCACCAAACGTAGAAATAATAATTAGCAAATTACGCAATCGCGTCATGCAATCATGCATGTTGATTGCACAAAACGAATGTTAATTTTCCGATCGAGAGAGCGAAGATACAACAAAAGGATTATTTGAATCTCTTCTATGGTCAAGACAATCTCTTACGTTTTCTCAAAAATTCGTTTAATATGCAAAAACACACTTTCAACTCGTCGAGATAATAAAATTTTCGATAAAAATATAATAAAATAAAATTCGCGATATTTCGCGATAACAAAATTTCTGATACGAATTTGCGATAAAATTTATCGAAGCGAGGCGATGCGATCAATTTTATTTAATCTTTCTATTCACGTTGCGCGTCGAATGTGTGCAAAGATCGTTCGCGATATATATATATATATATATATAACTCTTTGCAAGGCGCTCTTTAACGGATTTACTCGCGAAAACCCTCGACGAATGCGGAACGGCCGCAGCTTCGCTCTGGGAGTCTTTCAACGAATTTTCCTTCACATCTCCGTTAAGAGCGCGTTTCTCGACTCGAGATTTTGATATTTGAAAATGTAACGAGGATCCCTCGTGAGACCGCGATGGATAAAGTTTCGCGACAGTATTTCTCAATGTAGCAGCGCTCTTAACTGAATAAAATTAGTCAAACTAACTAACTAGAGAAATCTCTTTCAAGTCTCATTCACCTAAAGTATGCTCTCCTGAAGTATAAACTTTTGGACCAGATATATACATAGAAAAATTTGATGAATATCAAATCGAGATATATTTTTTGTGTAAATATGTAAAATATATTTCTTATACCTCTCTTTCTTTAAGCAAATGTATATTATTTTGATAGATTCAATAGTCGAAGTCTCTTTCCCTCGTGAGATTGAGACTGATTGTGAGAGAAATTCAGATTTATAAGATTTTAAAGTATATATTCATATATAAATCGAAGAATAAGTAAGAAGCAAATATCCAGAACTTCTTAAAGAATAACATTTGATTAAAATATAAAAAAAAATGCACAAATATTCTAAGATTAATTAAAGCGCTTTTCTCAGTAAATAAAAACATATATCTTCATAGTTTCTTCTATCGAAAGGAAACTATTCCAAATTTGAGACAATCGCAAGGGGAGAAGATTGTTTTACATTTCCATAAAAGTATTTTTAAATTCCGTTTGCGCGTTTCGTGAATTAATAAAAAAAAATAGTGGCCAAGAGAAAACAAAATTAAGTACGACGCCGGCGAGAAGAATACGAGAATAAGAGTCTAAATATTTATAGAATATTTCAGTGTACGACGATTCGACACGCGATACGTAATACGCTTGCAAAAAAGGAAGGCTGATGCATAAATAAGCGAACGAAATATGCGGATGGGGTTGAAAAGAGAAGGGAGGCTGTTTCCCTCCTTCGAATGGTCGCGAAACGAGCATGATCCGTCATTACGATGCGAGGAATAACGCGGAGGACGCGGGCAGAGTAAACACGGAATTTAATATTGCAGAACCGCATGCGATGCGCGCATGCAACATTACCGATATGAAAATATCCGCGCGAGCATCGCGGAATTTCCGCGCGCCTGCATCTGTATGCAAATATACTGTAGCCATGTGTTCGTGGAAATTCTGTTACGTTCGCGATCAGCGCGTATCCCGATCTCGTCCGGATACAAAGAAAAAGATAGGCAAAAAAAAAAAAACATCAAAGCCCCGAGCCATACCGTTAACCCAACTGAATTACACACACGTTAGCGGTAGTATATATATATGTACGGAAAATGTACGTTACTCGTCATTAATAACATCGATCGATGTATTAAACAGAATTATTTTTCCGCCGTGATAAAAATGAGATGCGCGCGTTATAAGTGAATTTAAATATATTACCGAGCCAAATGTATCTTTGAAAATATTTTAATTTGACAAAAATAATTTTTTAAAAATCTTTCTTAAAATATATAATTTTTTAAAAATTAAAAAAAAAAAAAACGTAAATAATCTATGAAATATATACTGTGCCGTTAAATGCTGTAAAAGCAATTTTCCAATATCATAGTATCCATAAAACATATTATGATGAAGTATCGGTGCAGTGTCGGTAAGAGAGAAAAATTACTTCCGGAGGAAGTGTGCAGCGAGTAAAGGGTGAAAAAGAAGATGTCAAATTTTACAAATGCAGTCGGAGGCAGACAGAATATGTACGCCGAGATAAAGAATACGCGAGTGAAACATGGTCGTCGTTAAATATTTATAAAACGCTTGCGGATTTATAAGCAGAAAAATCGAGCGATTCGTGTACCTCATAGACGGCTCGCGCGTAAAATTGATTTCCATTTAATGTTCCCTATAAATGCGCGGTCTCTCGGCGCGATTCGGTGGCGGAAAAGCGAACCCTGAGAAAAGTGGAGAAAAGAATACGCGCACTCGCGAATCCGTCCACTTTTACATATAATGCACTCTCGAGATGCACGAGGCACCATGCACGTTGCATTATTTCGATGTCGTAAAACCGACGTCTAGACTCTCGAAAACGGCGAACGCTCGTGAAAGCCAAATGGAATCTGCGGAAAGAAGAACGGTATTTAACAAAAGCGGAAGAGTGTTCCGCGTCGCGATTTCGTATAATTTCGAATCGTGAGATGAAAAATAAACGCACGATATTTCGCGAAAAATTCACTCGTTAACTGCGAACGTTCGTCATTATATCGATGCAATAATTTAATAT